AAATAATTTATAGAATTGGTGATAACATGAGTAATGCACACGATTATAGATAATATTTTGATTATGGCTTGTTATGGCTATAGTCCAGGACCTGTAGATAGTAATATATTGTGGTGATGGATGATAAGATATTGTGATAAGATTTAGAAGAACTTTTCTATTATTATTATTATTATTAATATTACTATCACAGTATAGTTATTTTTAGAACTAACAATGGAATAAGATTATAAGAATATTATATTATGCTATAAAATATAAAAACATTTAAACCAATTGACTTTCCTAGACAATGATAAGACCAAAACAAGATAATTAATAAATATTTATTAATCAAGACTTAAAAAAAATAGCTAATAGTTAATACAATAATACCTATATAGTCATTAGTGTTTTTAAAAATGCCTAAGAGAAAATGTGTCTTCAATGATCGACTGAAGGAATCATTTAAAAGTTTTGTTGATGGCCGTGACGTTAGTGAAGCCAAATGTATCGTCTGTGATTGCTATGTTTCAGTTGCCAATAAAGGTATGTTTTCCTTCAACAGATTTATATATTTTAAATTCATTAATATGCTTAGTATTTTTACATTTTTGTCAGGGTCTTATGATTTAAAAGCTCATTTAGACACAACTAAACATAAGTCAAGAATAGCTAGTTCTGTGGTTTCATCATCTAACAGTTTAAGTAATTTTATTATTAACAAAAATACACCTGAAATTTTGAAAATTAGTGCAGTGGAGGGTACACTTGCATTTCATACAGTTATACATCACCATAGTTTTCGATCAATGGATTGTACGCCTGCAATCTTACGTTGTATGTTTGATGACTCTAATACTGCTAAAAAAATAAGTTGTGCACGAACTAAAACTGAAGCAATTGTAAATAATGTACTGGCACCACATTCTCTGAAAGTTATGATTGAATGTTTAAAATGCATACCTTTTATTAGTATTGCTACAGATGCAAGTAATCATGGTAACACAAAAATGTTTCCAGTTCTTATTCAATACTATGATTATTTGAATGGTGGAATTAATGTTAAACTTATTGATCTCAAAAATACAAAAAATGAAACTTCAGATACTATTAGTGAATTATTGTTGGAATCACTGAATAAAAATAACATAAAAAGTAAATGTGTTGCATTTGTTGGAGATAACACTAACACAAATTTTGGAGGCATTAATCATAAATCTGGTCAAAACATATTTTCCAAACTTAAATCAAGTGTTAATAAAAATTTGCTTGGTATTGGTTGTCCTGCTCATATTTTGCACAATGCCATACATCATGGTGTGGATCAATTTTATATGTTTGATATTGAATCAATAATTCTTAAAATTTACAACTATTTCTCTATTTACACAGTTAGAACAGAATCGCTGAAAGACTTTTGTGAGTTTACAGATATTACATACAGAGAATTACTGTATCACAGCAAAACAAGATGGTTAAGTTTATTTCCTGCAATTAACAGAATTTTGCAAATGTTCCCTGCATTAAAATCATATTTTGTATCACAAGACCAAACACCTAGAGCACTATTAAACTTTTTTGAAAATGATTTTAGTGAACCATTTTTACTTTTTGTACATTCTTTGATGAGTACTTTTCATAACAGTTTGGAAAAAATAGAAAATGAGAGCAATTCAATATGTGAAATAATAAATATAGTTGAAAATATTTTGACTTGTTTAAAAAGTAGAACAACAGAAAAATTTATACCCTTGGCCGTAAAAGCACGTATAAAACATTTGAGAGAAAATGGAGAAGAAATTGCCTGTGATAATTTTATTGGGCATTGCTTATGTATATATTCCTCTACAACCAGTTATTTAGAAAAATGGACCATGTCATTAATGCAATTTAAAGTAATTAAATTTATCCAGTTTGAATAGTTTGATTATTAATGATTTTTAATCAAAAATTATTTTTCAAATTATTACAGGTATTTAAATGGATGGACATTCAGAAATCTGCTCCAATAGATTACAATGAAGTTGAAGAATGTATAACTTTCTTAAAGTCCCTAAATGTTTTTATTGATGATGTACAATTATTTGACCAGATTCAAAATTTAAAAACATTTATTAGCATCCAAGATGATACATATTTCTTTGAAAAATCTCCAAATAAGTTTTTATTGTTTTTTTCTTCAAATCAAAACATAACAACATTTTCTGAAATTTTGAAAATTGCACAGTTTTTTTTTGCTATTCCAGGACATAACGCTAGTACTGAGAGAGTATTCTCACTTATAACTAGTCAATGGACTAAAGAACGCAACCGTTTCTTATTGGAAAACATTAAGGGTGTTATGATGGTTCAATTTAATTTTAAACATTTTAAATGTACTGATTTTTTTAAATACTTGAAAGATCAAAAAAACAATTATATTTTAAAAGAAATATCTAGTTCTGACAAGTATGGTCAAGTCAATTCTAAATAATGTTTAAAAGTTTCTAAGGTTGTTTGAAAAGGTTAAAAATAAATGTTTTGAATTTGCGTTTAGTTTTGGTCGATTATTTTTATTTTATTGTTTCTAATAGATATGTTAGATTTTTATATGCTGTTTATATTTTGCTTCAATCAGCCAACTGAGTATAATAAAATTGTGATAAATAAATAACACAAGTATGTTTAGTATATTATGAATAATTTTAAAGTACCTACCTATCCATAATATTAGTAAAAAATAAAAATGTCCTCTTTTTTTATAAGAGACATCTGGTCACCCTACTGATTCGTTAGAATCATAGAGTTCAGCATTTAGAGTTTTTATGAAGCGGGTAATTCTGTTTTTGATACTGTTGTCTCGAAGACTTGGTTTGATTTTCGAAATGATATCTAATAATTCTTCTTTTGATATATTGTATTATTTATAGATTGATAGGGGATCGAAGGGGCCTTGGTTATTTTCTAAAATATGTTTAAAGGTGTCGTAGTCGATTTTGAAACTGTATTGGTCGTTGAAAAAATGTTGTGTAGGTTCTAAATAAGTATCGATATTTTCTAAGAATTTTTTTAAGGATGCGGATTTAGTTTTCTTATTCTTTTTTTTTCCTGTTGTTTTACTTTGGGGGGGGGGGGGTTCACAGTTTGAAGGAGCACACACTTCGTTTGTTTCTTGAGCTATATCCATCGGTGACGAGGGGGCGGATTGGGTGTAAAACGAATCTGGCAGTGACCTTTTGATGCCGCTTGGTTGTTCAAGTTCCATTTCTATTATGTCTGCGTTTGGATTTGATTCGAGATTTTGGAGTTCTAGTTGGGTTAATGTTGAGGTAGAAGCTGGGGGATTGTTTTGGGGAGTGGGCTCAGAAAGGATTTTTAGCGGCTCTAGTAGTGGTCTTGAGGGTACTGTTTGGGGGTGTACTTCTGTGGGTGTATTGTCTATATTTAAAATATCATCTATTATTGAAGCAGAGTTTGGGTTGGATATGTCATTATTTTCCTTTGTAATTTTACTATTTAAAAAATTTTGATTTGTGCATTGGGATGCTATATGTCCTTGGGACTGACATATGTAGCAGTTTAGGGAGTCGTCAGATAGGAAAATCCTATAGTTAGTGTCTTCGTAATTGATAAGAATTGATGTAGGAATTTCAGTGAGGTCTTCGTGTTTAATGAACGTTTGGCGACGGAAGCTTAGAATATGTGTAAAATCTTCGACTTGTATGCCAGCCTTTAGAAACGTTATCGGGCTGCATAGGGATATATTTAGTTTGACAAGTTCGTTAGCGATAACGTCCGGAGGTATGTTAGGGTATACGTTGGACAATATGATTCTTTTATTTGGATTGAATAGTTTACGTAATTTGAATTGTTGTTCTTGTATTATGATGTTTGGGTACTTTTCGATTAGATTATCAACTAGTGCCTTGCTCGATAAGAATATACATATGCGTTCTTTAGATATGCGGGACGCAAATAGAATATTAGAAGGTTGAACTAGTTTGCCGATAGCGATTATGTAATCTTTGTGTGGAAAGCTTACATTTATATCGATTACAATAGCTTGGTCTTTTTTAGGTATTAAGCTATTTGCAACAGTGGAAGCAAATGATTGTTTACTATTATCCGCGTTAATTGGGGTTTCTGGGTAATTATCAATGAGTGTCTTTGTAGAGGTAGATTGTAGTTGAAACTTGAGGTCTGGTGTTATTTTGGGTGAAATGGGTTTAGCGATAATTTTTGTTGTATTGGTTGGAGGAGTTTTTATTTTTGGTTTTTGCACAATGTTGGTTTGTACTGTTCTACGGATTGAAGGGCTTTTCAAAGCCGATGGTTTTGAAGCTTGCAATTTGGTGGTTGGGCCTTGCGCCCGGAGAGTTTATTGTGTATTAACTAATAGTGTAATTAACGAGCATATTACCTGAGATACGGTGAGTGTAGGTTGTATGCTGTACTGCTATCGCAAGCTATTAAAAACGGTACTCGTGAGACGCGATAAGGTACGTGTTGACTATGTAAATATTTTTTGTTCAATTAAATTGAAAGTTACCTCTAAACTAGAAAGTACCTCTTATTTTTTGTGACACTGTTTCTAATAGTTCTGCGATTTTTTATTTCCATCTTAATAATATGTGAAAATATGTGTATTGACGAATCAGTGATTCCCTTTGTTGGACGTTTATCATTCCGCCAATACATACAAAATAAAAGACATCGATACGGTATCAAAATATTTAAATTATGTATAAATGATGGATATAATATAGGATTTAAAATATATGCTGGTCGAGAAACTATTCCGAGAGTGGCAGTTTCTACAAAAATTGTAATGGAGTTAGCAGCAGATTGATGAGGGAAGAACCATGTTTACTGACAACTGGTACACATCAGTAAGTCTAACAAATGAACTTTTAAATCGATCCACAAATTTCGTAGGTACAATACGTTCTAATAGGAAGTGTAACCCAAAAGACGTCATAAATGCTAAATTAAAGAAAGGTGAAATAAAATCAAGCTAAAATGAAAATAATATTGTAGTAATGAAGTGGAAGGACAAACGCGATGTACTTATGTTATCAACAAAGGATAAAGATAATATAGAAACAACTACTAATAAACGTGCTCAACAATTATTCAAACCACAAATGATATTGGATTACAATAAAGCAAAAGGTTTTGTCGATATTTCCGATTTGAGAGGTTCTTATCATTCACCACTTCGGCGGTCTTTAAAATGGTATCGAAAAATAGCATTTAAAATTCTGTTAAATACAAGTTTATTAAATGCATTAACTCTAAATAATTCTGTCACTGGTAATAAAATAGGTGTAACAAAATTTAGGGAAAATATAGCTCAAGTTTTACTAACGAAATCTAAGATACTCAACACAAATGAAGGTGAAAGCCATAAGCTTATTCACTCTAAACGTGGTAGATGTTCCAATTGTTACTTTGAAATGGTTCACTAAGGTGGAAGGGAACATGCACAAAAAATTACACGAAAAGTAAATACACTGTGTCCAGGCTGTTCCAAATATTTCTGTTTAGATTGTTTTTTTTTTAAATGCATTTAACAACAAAAAATGTAATTCATTTAAATAATGTATTATTTTTTTGTAACTTGTATTAATATATTTATGTTTGATTTATTGATTTTAATTTTAAAAGTTTATACTGTATTTCTGCAAAATATTCAGTTATTTTTAATACGAGTTGTATTTTATTTTTATTTTTAAAAAATATTAAATTTGAACACTGTTTGCACTATTTTGTTTGAAATTTTTTCCTCTATCTATTCCAATTAACAAATTGAGCATCAAAAATGGTTCTCAATGCCGTAATCGCGAAAAATAATGAGTACCAAAACTGACTCTCACAGCCTGACAGTCAAACAGTGTGAGTACCAGAATTGGTACTCAAAGCGTGTAAAAAAAATATAATTAAAACATGAAAGCCTATAATACAAATCATGTGAGTACCAATTATGGTACTCATGGCAGTCAACTTGTTTTAAACAAACAATGGTTTAGCACACAGTATTAACTTTTTTTTTTTTTTTTTTTTTTTTATTAGAAACTTGGTGAAAACCATTAGTTTCAACAATTACAATAATATATTTAACAATTAAAGTTATGTAACAGAAAATTAACAATTTTAACAATTAAATATTCGAATTAATAAAAACAAAAATAGACTGATAATTAAGAAAGTACAATGAATCAAAGAAAAAGATAAGAGTAATATAATGGTGCGTGAGTAATATAATAATAACTTGTCGTCACTGTAAATTTAATTAGAAGATAAAGTTTAACAATATAAAATGGTATAGAATTAAGTATATGAGAAAAGATTAGATTATTGTATTTAGGATTTATTTCATAGTGAGGTGAGAAGGGAAAGGAGTTGTTTAATATTATTGGAGATTTCGGAGATAAATGAGGTTAGTAATGTTTCAATATTTGAGCCAAATTGAGAATGACTTAAACCGGTGGAAGTGACATGAGCATATGATGGCTGGGTGGAGGGGGTACAAAAGGTGGCTTTTGGAGTATTATTTTTAGATGAAGGAGTTGGAATATTATTTCGACTAAATGAGGGCTTGATATGTTTAAACTTTTTGTGTTCAGGGCAACCTTTATAGTTAGCGGTGTGATTGCCATTACATAGAGCGCATTTGGCTGGAACGTCGCGTGACTTGGTACAGGACTCTGAGGTGTGTTCTTCTCCACATTTAACACAACGTGGTTAATGAAAGCAGTATTTACGAGTATGACCATAAGATTGGCAATTAGTGCACTGTGGTGGACTTTTAGGAGTCCGTGGTTTTTCAACTGTGATTTTAGTGTTAAGAAGGAACTCAATTTTGTATATGTTCAAGTTATTCGTGGCTTTTTTAATATCGACGAAAAAAAGTGGCAGCGGTGCTTTATCCGAAAAACGTTTGATATTATGTATATTGGTAACACTATGTCCCAATTCTGCAAGACTAGCAGAGATGTCCTCGTGTGAGGTGGTCGGGTGGATATTACGAATGACCACTCGAAGCGGACGAATAGCAATTGGCTGGAAGGTATGAAAGCAATAGTCATTTTCGTCGAGGAGTTCTACTAGAGAGTTGTAATGTTCCCAGAAATGAGTGTAGATGATAGTATAAGAGGGCGTAGACTTACATATAAATTGAGAAGAGTCTAATATAGTCAGCAGGATGGAGATGAGGTCGGAAAAATTGTTCACATTTTTAATGTAGACGGGTGGTGGTTTCGTTGAGACGAGACTGTTGTGTGTATTGGCGGTTTTCGAACATGGGTTTACATCGGCTTCATCAGTGTTAGCGAGGACTGAGAACCGATTTGGACTAGCGAAGACTTTGGATTTTTTCTCTACGACCTTTGGAGAGAGAGAAGATGTAGAATGATGTCTTTTATTCTTGTTGTCTTTACATTTATTGTTCGATTGAGACGACATAATAGCGTGATATTATGGCCCTGGCGATGGTAATAAAACATTTTATGACTTAATAATCGTACAATCTTTTTTTTTTTTAAAGCAAAATACGCTTTTGTAAACTAAATCTATAAGTACAATGCATGGTGTTGCCTTTGGCTACAACCAATAAAAACTATTACGAAATAAATATTTTATTTATGTTAGAAAGTATAAATCAACTTTGAAAAATTATTTAGATATAAGGGATTGATGAATTGGTAAATCTTTAAATCAGTCAATGGCAAAACATAATTTATGAATTGTGGCTTGGTTAAGAGGCAGTCACAGTAAAAGTGAAACGTATACAACGCTCAATAGATGGCGTTGCGCGCTGTATAGTCGCCGTTGCGGCAGACCGTAACCCCACCCATTATATCCTCGACTTGGTCCGCGCGCACTATTTTCGGGAGCGGTACATTAATACATTATTACTACGGAGGCGGTCATGATGAGCGTTTGATGTATTATAATATTTCACGAGTATAATATTTTATGCACTCGGCGCGCTTACTCCTCGCTTTGCGTTTACAACCTACCTTACCTAATAATTGACTTACGTTCATTTTAACTTTTAAATGTGTACAAATATATAAAGCACAACAACGTATACACATACATAGATTGATTTACATTCATAGCATAATTACCTACTTTTGAAATATACATACTATTTATACCTATATTATTCTAAGTTTTAATTTTTTTTTTAACATTGGTAATTTTGTAATTATCACACATATTATACTATTCAGGAAGATTTTTATATGACATTCTTTACATTATTGTGTTCAACATTTTGTATCAATGTATCTATGTATTTTTTGCGATCATTCTTCTCAGCGACGGGCATGCTCATAATCGAATTAAATATAATAGACAATAGGTAGTATTTATTTTCTACCCAAATTAAAAATATTTATTTATTCAAAAATAAAGGAAGGCATTACATTGATATGTACATAATAATAGATACGAGTGTAGGTGAGATGCTGATATTGGAAATAAATCATCTAGAAAAAAAAATGATATTGTATTATTGTATATATAATAGTATTATGGGTATTTAATAAACCTATGTAGGTAATAAGAAAAGTAGAAAAATACTTTTTTTTGGCTGCTTGTTCTTTTAAAATTCTTGGTGGATCGATAATTTCGGTAACTAGATGTCTCTTACCAAACTGCGGATTTATTAATTCCGGCAATAAACATTCATTATAGAATCTAAATACGAGATATAAAATAGTATATGGTTAAATTTGTGAACATAAATTTAAAAATTAATTTAATTAAAAATGGTTTATACTAATTAATATTATACTTACAAATGTATTTGAGACTGTATTTTTTGATACCAAAAGTTATCATCGATAGTAATACATACATTATAATACCAATTTTCTGTATAAATAAAAAAATTACATTTTTTTCTTTTGGTTACATGCAATTGAGTCTGAATCTGGTAATAATAATTATGATTAGTTTTTAAGCTAACATTGTTTTGTTTGTCTTTAAAACAAAAAGGAATCTGCGGAAATTTAAAATTGTTTAAAAATATTAGGTAAGGTAATATAGGTATTAAAAATCTAAATGTATTACTTTTCCTGCGTCAATAGCATCGAATATATCAGAAAAATTCCTAGCCGAAAATGGACATTTGATTTCGATGATCGAATCTTCGCCGATGAGGCCATCTAAATAATATAATTTATTGGTTATTAATTTGGTTTTAATTATTTTAAATTAATTATAACTAATTAGGTATTGTTATTTAATAGTTTTTGCTTTCAACTACCTGGACTTGCGGCTAGATATAGAATTTTCTCATCCATACACAAACCCACAGGTGCAATTGTCAAATTGTATAAGCTTTCAAATTTTTTTTTTGCTTCGATCTCCATTACACGTCCATATTCAATAGCCTTTATTTTTATGTTTATGCAACTATAGAGCAAATCGTATACAATCTTTTTACAAGAGGTATGCTGTCGCATTTTGCATATTTTCCCTATATTTGAGGCAGTAATTCTTTTTTTTCTCTCCGAATACCAAAGTTGGGATTTGGATTGATCTTTGGTTTCGTTTTCCAATTTTTCTGAAAAATTAAAACAAAAGATTCATATAGCATCAATTTTATTCGATACCTAATTAAAATTTTTACCTCGATTAGTGGTCTTTAATTCGTTAAGAAAATTATCTTTTCTTATTTTGAATTCTGCAGGAGTTAAATCGTCAACCAACTCATCTGATAATCCATAGTTTTCATCTGGACCACATTTTTTATTAATTTTTTTATTTTTAGAAGGAAATAACTCTCGGCTTCGTGCATTATTATGTCTCTTTCTCGCAACATCTTTTAAAAATAATTTACTAAATTTCCCTAAAATATTTATAATGAATTATTATAAATTTATATATATTAACATTTTACCTATAATATATAAATTGAGAACTCATTATACTTATTTATTTGTTATTTTTATGATATTTTATAAGATATAATTTTTATTAATTGACAATTGCCCAAACTAGTTTTTATAAATAGGTACCTGGACTTTTTTTCATCACGTTTTTATGTATTGCTCGCAGGTATTCTTTAGAATTGAAGGACACTACTGCAGCTTCAACCCGGGTGTTGTATGAATTTCGTTGCGATAAATTTATTCTTTTTCCGCCGATGTATTTATTTATAATGCTGTTAAATTGCTCGCATATGTTGTTATCTACGTCTAAAATCAAACTTGCCGAATTTAACACTAAGCGATTAACAATATTTTTTATTTCGACCATCATTCCACAGATTTCTGCACGCTGTACCCAATTTTCTTCTCCTAAAAGTCTTTTTTTTACAAAAATAATCGTCACACTTTGAATGTTCGCCAAAAATGTGATACGGACTATTAAATAAGTCAGCTGATAAATCTAAAAAAAATATATTCATTTAGTACAATACACAAATTGTATACAAATATTATATTATATATTACAAACATATAGGTTTTTAGATATTTATTTATTATTTATAATTAAATAGCCATAAAAAAACGATTTATAAGAAACCTTTTACTAAATTTTAAAGTTTTTGGCCGAGCAAAAAACTAAAATAATATAAGCTCGAACATTAAAAAAATATATATATTTACAAAATTACAATAATATATATTATATTATGTCACTATAACTAAAATTTGGAGGTGTTTGAATGATTTATCTGTCGGCCATAGTACAGTAATACTGTGGATTTATAACTAAAATGTTTTACAAACTTTTAATTTTCTGTGCTGTTGGTACATTTTCATTTTTTTCTGTGTCTTATTGCTGTCACAATAGCAGTCCGGAATCTTAGTATATTTTTCAAAATAAATTGTCTTAAGTTGATAGGATAATTAGTTTTTTTTGCAATAAAAGTTAATTTTTTGGATATAATTCCGTAACATGTGATTACGGCACTCGATCTTCTGCACAATATAATCAGGTCCATAGGGTAGAATTTCTTTAAGTCTTTTAGTGACACTACTGTCACCATCACCTGTGAAATCAAAAGTAAATTAATATAGGTGCATAATAGTTTTTTAAAATTGAATAACGTACCAATAAGCTTATTGAACTTCAATTTGTGTAGCTCTACACTTTTTAAAAAGCCCTCAGCTATTCCATCTGCTTCTATACCGGTGGCTGCTTTTTTTCCAGTTTAGAAAACATGTATGAATGCCTGGAGTTTCATTTTTTCGTTTCAGCTCGACTACAGATAATACAAAAGCGATTTCTGATCCCAACAAATAGCACTTTTTTTAGTTTTGTATCCAATAATAGTGGCCTGTATATTTTAATATTTTAATTAAATATTAACAATAATTCATGCATGTATGGTTCTGGTTAAACAGGTATATAATTATTTTAATGTGATATTTAACTTGAATTAATGCAATTGTAATGAAATTAATTTTTAAAAATAATTTCTGTAGACTAACACGTTATATTCCACGTTACTAAAATAATAATTATAAATATAGAATATATAAATGTATATTGTATGACAAAAATTAATTTACCTAGCACTGCAGGCTTTATCTAACAATAGTCGAATTATTTGTACTAATTTGGGGAGACTAATATTTCAAATAAAATTGACTTATAAAATAAAAAAACCAGGTACTACTTAAATTTTTAAAATTTGAAAATCATATTTTAATGGGCCTTAAACATATAACGAAAGTACAAAATATAGTATACCACTCCGGATAAAGCGTCGTATTTAGATTTATAACTCCGTTTTGACCACTGTCCATCTGCTACAACGGTACAAAACGGTATCCCATCATCGCCAACATCTCCTGCTTCTATTGCTAATTTTCTTTCTTCTTCTCCAGCTTTTTTTTATTTCCTCCCACGCTGAGTTATGAATACTAAAGCTTAAGTTTTCATGTTCTTTAAAAAAAAGTTGTACTTGTCATGCACGGAATTTCCATTGCAGCTGATAATTCAGCTAGTTGTTTTTGGCCAATTCCTTGAGAAATATATAACAATGTAACAATGTATAACTTTTACAACCAACAACAAAATCAAATACAACAAAAACTGTATTGACTATTTTCAATTTTTTTTTTTTCAAAATTTTAGATTAATGCTTTTCTAATAGTGTAATATATTTTAATTTTTTTAGACCCTTATATTTATTGGTTAAACCACTATAAAATTTTGATTTTAAAATGGCAACATATAATAAAAATGTATAACATTTTTATGATATATTTCCGGTTGAAAATCAAATGTTGATAGTGGTTTAATCAGTAAACATAAAGATAAAAAAAAAATAATAAGGTTATATATTACCTATATAATTTAGGTAGGTATATTAAGTAAATCAATATTATTATTTTTTCTATTTACCAATTGCTACAGTTCCATTTGTTACGGCTTTATTTATGGGAAGATATGATTTATCAGATGGTTCTGAAGAAATAACTTTTACAATGTTGCACATTTTGCATTGAAATTTGAATTTGGAAAAAAAACCGTAACGTTTTTCTGAGACAAAAGACATATTCAAAAAAGAACAGTCTAGTCCACCACCATGTGAACTGTTTTGGATTTGTTTAAAAATATAATCAACATCTACAATTCGTCTACCCGATAAATGGTCAGTAAGAACCCTAAATATTAAAAAAACTAAAAATAATAATAAAATCGAAAACGAAATTCGAAATAAGAATAATCAAAGAGATTTTTGTTTTTTTCTGATACTTACTCAGTTTTACTATTTTCTTCAACACTTGGTAATGTGTAGGATTCAATATCATTTAAATTAAAAGATTGATTACATTCAACAATTGGGACAACTTGAACAGGAGTCGAAGTAAACCTAAAGTTTTTAATTAATTCATTATTTCTTAACAGGTGAAGTCTCAAAAACGAAATACGTGATAAAGGGTTTGGCACTGCCTACTAATGTACAATAAGGTAGTTCAAAATTCTAATTAACAAAAAAATTTAAAAATATAAGGTAAAATGAAAATTATATACTAAGTGAAAAAATATATAATAAGATACCTAACAATTTTTAATAATCTTACTTACTGGATTGGTGTAACAAAGTCTATATTTTCAATTTCTACGTCATTAGTAGAGCCAGTGGAGGTACTAGGTTCACTATAAATAATATAGGAGTATAGTCAGTATAGATAAAAAATTACCGAACAAATAAATTGTATTAGTTATAACCTCGACACCTCATCATTGAGTCATAAGTTAGTTTGATTGATGTGTTAAAATATGAACTCCAAACACGTTTTTTAATTTCAATAATTTCTTTGTTTTATATGTTCAAGATTTTTGGGGTGGTATAATTTTTTTATCGACATTTTACAAATGATCAGTGACCTTCTCTATGACGAGGTACAGTCGAGACTCGACACTAATTATATATGTATATAACAAAACAATTTTTTTCGTTTTAGACCGGGAAACTAAGCTTGTACAATATTAAATTTAAATTGGTTATACAATGTTTTTAATTTTTAAAATAAATAATATGTAATTTAGGGCACTTACCTTGGTTTTTTAGATCGTCTTAGTGCAAGTGTCTTAGTGACCATTTTTTTAGTCGATCGTTTACGCTTTAGCACATTTTTTTTTATTTGCCATAATGAACAATGTAGAGCCGGAAAATTGTAAAAACAAATGATAAAAATGTTCACAACTGATGTGATCACGTTGAATCATACAAAAGAAATGGTTATTTTTTCAGAGTTTACTTTACGATAATTCGAGTATTACAATAGTTATAGTAATAATTATACTTGAATATTTATTTTTAATTTTTTATACATATTTCTGGAAATACAGCTATTATAGTAGCTCATATTGTTACTTCCGCTGTCCTAATTCGTAATCACTAAGTAGTAAGTACGGTGTCTATATTTAAAACTTTTTTTTTTTTACCATAGTCATACTCATGTTATAATTATAATTTTTCCAATTAATTTAAACATCAATTCAAGTTTTTTATAATGCAGCAATATACCATTATAATTTATAGCAAGTATTATACTATTATGTAGAAAAAATATTTATTTTATATGTTTAGGTACTAGAATTTATTGTTGATAGACGAATTGTGCATACTTTGAAGTTTGATGTACCTACCTATCTACTGTCTGAAAATATTAGAATGTCCGCACTAGTTATATTGTAAAAATAATTGAACACAAATAAAATAAGTTATCACTTATCCAGTCGGTCAGTGATGGAATACCGTCTATGATTGTCGATTGCCTGATTATAATAATATTGTATTTATTCATTATTGTTATTTCTATAATAAAATATCAATAATTTATATTCCTATTCCTATAAAGTATAAAGGTTTATAATCGGCGCATAATCTATTCTCAGAAGCGTTTGTCGTAGTGTCGTCGGCACTCGTCGCCTATTACCGGCGACCATATAAGAAAGTCACTTTTTGTAGTGGGGAAATTTGCGACCTCCGTCACAACGGCATGTAGGTGGCAGCACACTATTGCAATGAAATATCTAATCTAACGACGTAAACATGCTGTCGAAAAACAAACGAAAAGCAATTAAAAAGTGGTTTTAGAGTAAAATTACCTATAATAAATTTTATAGAAAACAATATTTCGGAGGGAACCTCATCGGGGTTTTGTATTAATACAAATACACAGCTCGATATTAAAGGAACAAAAACCTTTTTTTTTACATTTTTTAAATAACTGTAACTTTTTTACTGCTTAATATTTCGAAAAACACCGATGAGATTCCCTCCTAAATATTGTTCTCTATAAATTTCATAATAAGTATTTTTACTCTAAAAACACTTTTTAATGCCATTTCGTTTGTTTTTCGTAGACGTGTTTTTACCGCTGAAAATGACCAGTGTGACATCCTCTTAAGGACGGTGTGTTGCGGGTCGGCGGTCGATTGCTAAATGCGTCCGAAATTTCGTATGAACAAAAACATCAAATTATATTACCGCACATCGAACCTTTTTCGTCATTATTTTTTCGACACGAGCATGAAAGATTAATGCATGCAGGTGCACAGACGATGCTGAGTAATATCCAATCACAATATTGGCCAATAAAAGGTAGAATCATAGCAAAAAAAGTAATATATAACTGTATAAAATGTTTTAAATTAAACCCGGCAATTGTAAAACCAATAATGGGTAATCTACCTAAACACAGAGTAGAACAACCTAGTAGGTGTTTCGAGACATGTGGGGTAGATTATGCAGGTCCGGTATTCATAAAATCTAGCCATAGAAGAAATGCAGCTATCAGTAAGGCATATATATGTATTTTTATTTGTTTTAGCACTAAGGCTATACATATAGAACTAGTATATGATTTAACTACTGATGGTTTCATTGCGGCATTAAAGCGATTTATCTCACGCCGAGGAATATGCCAACACATTTATTCCGACAATGCTACAAATTTCGTAGGGGCAAATAAACAACTCGAAGAGTTAAAAAATGTATGAGACTCCAAGGAACATAAGGAAAGGGTTCAATCATTTCTGAACGGAAATTCTATAACGTGGCATTTTATTCCACCACGGGCGCCGCATTTCGGGGGCTTGTGGGAGGCTGCAGTGAAGTCAGTAAAACAGCATTTAAATAAGACAGTTGCAAATATTAATTTAACATATGACGAAATGTATACTGTATTAGTACAAATTGAAGCGTGTATAAACTCTCGTCCCCTCATACCTTTATCGAGTGATCCAAATGACCTAGCTGTATTAACCCCTGCGCATTTCCTAATAGGTAGTTCACTCGTATCTTTACCTCAATCCGATCTATCTCATAAAAAAGAAAATTACTTATCGCAATGGGAAAGAGTTCAAAAAATTACCCAGGGAATGTGGAAAAGATGGAACGGGGAATATTTGAATCAACTTCAGGTCAGAGCTAAGTGGCATCAACCAGCCAAGGCCGATATTAGGGTTGGAACAATGGTGTTGATCAAGGAGACAAATGTGCCACCTCTCCAGTGGAATATGGGA